GCCCTTTTTAAAAAGATGTTACCTTCCCTTATTCCTCCCAGTACAGTTGGAGAATGTTTGCATCGAGTTTTTGCCAGCTTCCCTGTGGAACAGAGAGCAACTGCTTAACAAATGGCAGGTTTATGTAAGAGGAAATCTCCATGGTTTAACATGCTTTTGTTTCCTGCCAGTATGCACCTTCTGTTTTTGTTCACGCATAATCATCATGTAACCTATTCAGAAAGGCAAAGAAACCAAGGCTTGAGGAAATGGCTATTCAAGCAATTACTTCCACACTGATGTTCCAATTCTTGGCCCAAAAGACTTTCCATGAGACTGGTGACTCCAGTAGCTGGGGCTACTGTGTGCAGAAAGCTGGATATAAAATAATGCCACAAAGTCTCCAGTAAAATCAGTACATTGTCAAAAGAGCCTCATCATCATTTGAATGAAGCCTTTTCTCTAGGCAGAACCTATTTCAGTGGCACAAAAATACTTTGCATATATCTAAATTGTTATATTTCCCTAAAGAGAGGATAATGATTTTTCTATGGTCTCCTTTACACTTAGAGGTTTGACAGATAGGGACTGACACTGAATCTATTCATCAAGGTCCTGCTACAGATGTGTTTTCTACAGATGTCTGTTGGATAAGTGGATAAGCCGTTTACTGTGGAGTTGTGTTTCAAAATCAGAAGGGTATGCATTTCAGTGTCACAAATTCACGTGAATCAAGTCACACTCACAAAAGGATAGCATATATTATTTTATTTATTTATTTATTTATTTTGAGATGGAGTCTCGTTCTTGTTGCTCAGGCTGGAGTGCAATGGCGCTATCTTGGCTCACTGCAACCTCTACCTCCTGAGTTGAAGTGATTCTCTTGCCTCAGCCTCCTGAGTATATGGGATTACAGGCGAGCGCCACCATGCCTGGCTCCTTTTTCTTTTTTCTTTTTTTTTATTTTTAGTAGAAACAGGATTTCACAATACTGGCCAGGTTGGTCTCAATCTCCTGATCTCAGGTGATTCACTCACCTCGGCCTCCCAAACTGCTGGGATTACAGGCATGAGCCACCTCACCCGGTCAGACTGAGTATTTTATACTCATGAAAGAAAAGAAAAGCCACTCCTCCATATTGTGGTAGGCGTGGATTTCCTTACACTGGTCCACGTCTTGGAGAAAAAGATGCTGTTTACCTAACAGCAGAGCTCATTTGTACACTAAACAACCATGCTTTGAGTATCAACCAGGTGAAAGTACTATGCTGGACACTAAGAGAATAGAACAGTGAAACCAACTTAATTCTTTGAGTCAATAAGATCTAATCAAGAGATTAAACATGTAGATTGCTAATATAACTTTAAGGGAAGAATAAAATGAGTACCATAATGGTTGAAAAATGTAAGAGAGAAGGTTAGGATGTAATGGACATTATCTTCTCATAGAGATGTTGGTATTTTGAACCATCCAGAAATATGGCAATGGGACTAGAAAAAAGGGAGCATTAAAAAATAATCTTTAAGAAGATTTGGAGAATGACTGAGATTGGCAATTGTAAAACACAGATTAATTGAAAATGGCTTCCAAATAGGTAGCTAGAGGAGATTGTTGAGCAAGTATTTTCCTAAGGAAATAAGAGAGGACTTCCCTAAACCGGAAAAAATTTGTGGGAGATTATTCCTGAGTAAATTTGATATTTGAGATGTTTACAAGTCATATTAAATGCTTATTTTGCTCATTTAAAAACTCTAAATTCAGGCCGGGCGTGCGTGGTGGCCCATGCCTGTAATTCCAGAACTTTGGGAGTCTGAGGCAGGAGGATCACCTGAGGTCAGGAGTTTGAGACCAGCCTCACCAACATGGAGAAACCCCGTCTCTATTAAAAATACAAAAAATTAGCCAGGCATGGTGGCACATGCCTGTAATCACAGCTACTCTGGAGGATGAGGCAGGAGAATCACTTGAATCCAGGAGGTGGAGGTTGCAGTGAGCTGAGATCCCACTATTGCCCTCCAGCCTGAGTGACAAGAGCAAAACTCCATCTCAAAAAAAAAAAAAAAATTATAAATTCATGAAGGTGGGCCAGATTTAGTGACTCATTTTCAAAGAACGGAGTATTGAAAGGACAAATAATTTTACAGTAGAGAAACCTGGTATGAAATATCTTGGAGAACGTTAATGTCATCAGTGATATCATGCTGATATCATGTGCCAGCTGACATGATGTGACCAGTAAGGCATTCCACCTCTGATACATTTTACCAAGAACTATAACTGGAGTCCAATCATGAGAAAACTTTAGATGATCCCAAAGTGATAGATATTCTACAAAATACCTATCACTTCTCAGAACTGTCAGTGTAATACAAAACAAGAAAAGACTGAAGAAGTATACAGAGCATGGGAGATGGGATGTTTAATTTGGCATCCTAGACAAGATCCCCAAACAGGAAAAAGACTCAGTAGAAAAACTCATGAAATATGAATGGAGTTTAAGTTTTAGTTAATAGCAATGTAGCAATCCTGGTTTCTTAGTTTTGATAAATGTTCTAAGGTAATGTACGATGATAACATTAGGGGAAACTGGCAATGTTTACACTCATATAATTGGTCAATATTTTGAAGGCTGATATGGTGTGATGTAATGATAATATCATTAACAGTAACAGCAAGTCAAGTTTCTAGAGCACTTTCACATATGCTGACTCATGGTGGGACAATGTTAGCAGGTTGGCAGAGCAGGGATTTTTTTTTTTATGTCCATTTTATAAATGAGGCTGCTCAGAGTTGTTCAAAACTGAACTTAAATTATGAACTTATTATACTGTGTTATTTTTACTTTCACAAAGTATTAGTAAAGACAGACCAATGTACGTACGTGTGTATCGATGGCAAATGATGTAAGAAGCATGGAGGTGGGGGAATAAAGAGTTTGAGATGACAATAAATTTCAAGTGAAAGGAAAACTATTGAGGACTAAAATCTTAAGAATAGTGAGCTGACGTTCTGTTTTTTGAAGCTCGCAGATTTGCTTTTTTCTTTCACCTACTTCTCTTATGTATCAGAGAATTTCCTAATAAAAATAAAGTAACCTAATTATTACACCTTTGTGAGTCTGCAAAATTATTGCTCTTTGGAATTCCTGAACCACATTTCCTATTCTTTTGCTTCCTCTGGCCCCATCATCACATGTGTCTAAAGCTGATTCATAGATCATGAGCATAAGAAATTTGTTACAATGATTCTGCTTGTACTTCGGTGTGAGATTTTTTGCTTACTTAATTTTCCTTGTCCTGATTACAAGAGCTGCACCAATAGCTTTGAATAGGTGGCACACACTCATAAGGCGGTTTGCTCAAAGTTTAGAAACAGCAATATTTTAAAAAATATAAATTTTCTGTACATCTGCAACAAGCCCTCCCCCATTTTCGATCTCATTCATTTTCCAGCAGCATAAATCAGAAAGCAAAACCTTTGTTGCTTGAAAGGTCCTGCTTTGCCTTTTCTAAATGGTGTCCTTAAAGATGAAATAATGATGCTGCTTTCTTGGATCCAGCTTTCAAAGGAAGAATCTCCTGCGGACAGTTGTGTACACTTACATAACAAAATGGATGTTTAAAAGCAGGTAGATGAGTATTTTTTCCTATAATGTGATCTTCCTTGTTGATGCTGGAGCTGGAGGAGCTATCCCTATGCTCTGCTGCCACCTTGGCAACTCAGAAGGATTTACAACGGAGTTCTGCACAGGGAGAGCTGGAAGCAGCATTCCCACAGCCTCTCGTGGGGCTGGCAGCGCTCAGAGAGGCATTTGAAACGGATGTTACTGATACCCATAGACTTGGGTATATTGCTGAGAGAAATTATAATACCTCTCTGGTGGGAAGACACACTTTCTCTGTTTTTAAATAACTCAATTTCAGCAAGATCTATGTGTCTACCCCTCTGAATGCTCTATAAAGGCTCCGTATTTCTTTCTTTCTTTCCTTAGTCCGGAATGGAGACAGGAGAAGGATTCGGTTGAAGACGTCCGTGTGTGGATCTGAGTTTGCGCTCTGAGCGACGTGCTGGCTCATTTGGGTGTGACGGTGACAGCATAGGCGCTCTGCTGACAGTTTCCTCTTGTCTAAGCTTCCCTTCCGCGTCCACGATATGACTCGCTTGCACTCCAGTTAACTTCTTGGAAGTCGGAGCACTGAGTTAAAGCTGTTTGCAAAATGCAAAGCACCTGGGCGGCCAAGGCAGCGTGTTCTGCATTCTCTATGCAACCGCCTCCAAAAAAAGAGCTAGGGAATTTGGTGGATCAAATTGTAGGCGCTTAAAGCCGACCCGCTGCTGTCAATGTTGGGACTTAGATACATTTTTGCATCGTCATTCTTGTGTGTGTTTCCCGTTTATTCCATTCGAAGGCTCAGGCTCGCGCTGTCTGTCTCGCGCGCTCTCCCCTCTCTCTCCATTTCCCATTCACACATCAAACTCCGTCCTCCGCACCCCCATCTTCCGGTGTCTTCGTCTGAGTTCTGTGAGTGTGTGTCATTAGGCTTACTCGGACACTGGATGGGTGAGTGGGAGGCGGCTTTCCTTGCGGTTTCATTTACACTTGGCATGGGTGGGTGGGCGCCCTCCACAACTCGTCTCGCACAAGGAACACGGTTAAAATGAAATCTATAGCTAGAACCAGCGAATTGTTCTGAATCTTCAAAGTGCAGCTAGGACAGGAAATAATACAGGGTCCGGGGTGTGCGGAGGGGGGTGGAGAGCAGAAAAGTAAAGGAATAAAACCAACTTCGCTGGCAACTTCAATAAATCCGGTAACTGGAGGCAAAAAATAGACTCCGAGGGCTGGGTCTGGTCCGGATGAAACGCTAGGGCTCCTTCCCATCCTTGAGTCTTGGTTGCTGGAAGCCAGCCACGGGCGTCTTGCCACGCGAGTGCCCCTAGACAGCAACACACCCACTGGAAACGCACGTGAACAAAGCTCTCGCCCCCGGGAGCAGCCACCTGCGGTTTTCTGGTCGATCCCAGCTTCTCTAGGGAGCGTCAGGCGCACACAGGGTTAAGTTAGTTCCCTCCCTGGTAGGAGGGAAAGGAGGGGGAGGGGGAAAGCACCACACTGTCTCAGGCTGGGTACCTAGTAGTTAGTTGTACGTTCGAAACCTGTCGCGGTCACTTGCGCGTTTGGCATTATCCATTGTCACCGCGGGGGAACGGGCACTCGAGAAAACAGCGCCAGCAAATCTGCGCGCCAAGGCGCTGCGCTACTCCCTTCCGAGGTGCGCCTCTGCTCCTCCGTCCCGGGTGCCCAGCAGCGGCGAGGCGGCACGTCCGCTGCCGCCGCCGTGTCCACCGAGCCTCGGGACCCAGGGTGGCAGTTCTCAACAATGGGCAGGAGGGACCTCGGCGGCGACCCCTAAAACAATACCATGCTCCGGGAGCCCAGCTGCTGCCGCGCCAGCGTCTTCCCTTCCCACCTCCCTGACCCTGTCGGATTCGGATGAGCCCACTGCGAGCAGAAGACGCAGCCGTCAGGTAAAAGGGGCTGCGGTGCCAGGTGAAGTTTCCAGTAACCGGCCCGAGCTGCTGCTAAGCTGGCACCACGCTGTCTCTTTGGGGGATTTTTTTTTTTTTTTTTTGAAACAGCGGGAGGTGGTCATCTTAAGTGGGGTGTTCTAGGCTTTGTCTTTCACCTGGAGAGAAAATAGGCAGCTTAGCTCTCTCTCGACTTTAGAGAGAGCTGTCTGCTGGTCGAATTCACCTCCTCTAAGGAGCTTCATAACTGAGTTCTGAGTGAAAACGCAAATTTGCTTGTCTTGTAGATTCATCGATGCTAAATTGAGGTTCCCAGAGCCCCTAACCTTGCCAGAGTCCAGCTTCTTACTTCCCCGATTGAATCTCTTAACTTTCACGAGTAACAATCCTCTCCCCTCCACAAACTGCTGTTAATGTCACCAGCGTTATCAAGCGGTTGTATCTAAAGACACCAGCCTGCTACCGGCTCGTAATCTGGAATAATTAGTAGTTAAACAGATGCGGCGGATACTAATTCCTTTTCCTTCGAGTTAAGAGGGAGGGGGATGGTTTTTCCAAACCAATTCCCTTCCGGCCCTGCTTGTCCTCTTCGGGCTGGCGGGCACTGAGCTGGGGCCATCGCGCCTTTCTAGAGCGTCTGCGGAGGTGGCAAAGACTCGGGGAGCACAAGAGGCGGAATCCGGATCGGGTTCCTTGAGCCGCGTGCGTGGGACGCAGGGAGAGGGGAATAATGCCCCCAGGCGCTGAATGCAGGGGCAAGGAGCCAGCGAGGGTGGCTGGAGCCAGCTGCCACCAACTCTCTGCACCAGCTTCGGGCTTAGGGCCTCCTGGAAAGATCCCTCCGCCGCGCTGACCGCTAAGGGGCTCGCCCCTGCACTTTGAGCCCCGGCGTGGTCTTTTCTCATTTTTAATCAAGCCCAAGATCAAGGTTGCAAGTTAAGGTTGGGGAAAGGAATCCCCGGGGAAAGGAAGCCCCAGAGAAAGGAAGTCATAGGGGAACAGGGTGCCTGAGACGGGCTGGATCCACACTTGACACCCGGGAAACTCTACAGCGTGTGGGGCTCCGGCCAGCAGCAGTTACTCGTGGAGCTGAGGCCACCGCTACTGTCGTCGTTGGAGCTTTGCTCCTGGAACCTCCCAGCAAGATGGCACTCACTGTCTGTTGCCTCCCGATTAGCGCCCCTAGCTGCACCCCTTCTCCCCGGGTTGTGTCACATAGTGTGGGGAGAAGACGGGCTAAGTAAATGTAAGTCTACGCGCTTTCCTAGTCACCTTTGCATAATGCAATAGGAACAGCGACCTGCACTCACCAACGGGGTAGTGTGTGCGCGTGTGTGAGCGCGTGTGCCAGCGTGCGTCTCCGCGCGGGCGTGCGTCTGGGTGGATCCTTGCGTGGCTTCGGAGGCAAATCGGGCGTTTCTTCAAGTCTTCTCAACATGATTTAGGCTCTCAGATACGTGGAGGCGGTAGACGCAACAGGGATGCGAAGGAAATAAAAAACAATTGGGGAAGTAGTGCCAAGTTACTAAGGCTTTGAACTGAGGACGAGGAGGGCGGTCGCGCCTGGGGCGCGTCCGGAAATCATCTTCTGCCAGTGGCGGCCAACGCCCCAGTTCAACTCTTCTTCGGGGAGAGCTGAGTGGATCCCTTGGGGGGTTGGTCCTGGGCTAGTTTAAAACTCTCGGGTTGCATCTCGCGTGGCCCCACAGACGGCGCGTCTCGCCGTAGTTTTGGCGCGGGCTCGTTCTCCCTCTTCTGTTCAGATTGAGCCTCACCGGACTTGTTACAACATGACAGCAACTTACTGGAGGCAGGAGGAGAAGCATGAAATGAGACGAGAAAACCAAAAGCATCTCTTCCTCACGAAAAAGAGGCGTGCACCTGTTTTTGTTTGTTTGTTTTTTACATTTCACTTTAATCTTTGGAAAGAGATTGCGAAGTGGAACGTTGCCTGTACACAAATCAGGCTGCTTAGCTGTCAAGACTGTTTCCTAATTTTTAGGCTGAATCTCTGGTTGTCCGCTGCAGTCTATGGGGAAATTTAACAGCGCTTTTGCCAGAAGCAGCCAGGGTGAAGGAGGAAAGTGGGGGTGTTTAAAATAATCCTATTAAATTCTGGATTATTCCCCCAGTTAAAGTCATTTAAGAAGGTTCAGGATGAGGGAACTAGTGATGGGGTGAGGAGTGGGGAGCACATCACCAAGGTTGCCTGCATTTGAAATAACGCCATTTTGGTTGAGAGGTCTGCTAGATTTTACCCTCTAATCTCACGTTTCCATCATTTCTCAGTGTCTAAGTCATAGATTCTACGGCTTGGCAGTACAACATTAAGCAGGCATGGGGAAAAGCGCCTTTCAGGGTTCAGATGGTGACATTATCCCTAAGGGCTGGTGGTAGGGACGGCCTGTGCCGGGTGGAGAGAGAGAAGGTCAGAGTGGCATCTGCCCTGTTAGCCCGGCTCTCTGCAACACTTTTCAGAGACGACAGGGTTAAAAGCCAAGTCTGACTTCGCCTCTTGGAAATCGCTGGGTAGCAGCCGCGCCTCCCAAGCATTCTTTAAACCAGAAAAGTGGGAGGGACTCCGGGAGAGAGGGAGGGAATGAGGGAGGGAGAGAAAGAGGGCTCTAGGAGGCGAGCGCGCCAGAGCGCGAGGGACGGAGGGAGAGGAGGAGCGCGGGAGCTGCGGAGGCGATCCCGCGAATTCATTACTGTAAACATCTCCGGGGGTGTCAGGAGGGGTGGGGGTGGGGGCCGCGGCGCCTACATTAGCCCGGCCGTGTCGGATTGAGGCAGCAGTGTGGTCGGAGCAGCCTCCAGACCCACGCCGGGCGGGCGCAGCACTTGGAGCGAGCCCCGCGCCCGCCCCCGCGCAGCGCCGCACGCCCGGCTCCGCGCTCTCCTCACTCGCGCGTCGGAGGAGCGCCCGCCTCGCTCTCACGCCGAGTCCCGGGATCCTCCAAACCTGAGGAGCTCCGGTGCCGCGGGGCCGCTTTCCGTCGCCTTCCCCACTAGCCGTACTTCTTTTGGGGTTCGTTGGCTCGGCGCAGCGGAGAGGGGGAGGTGGAGGAGGAGAGAAGGCTGGGGCCGCGGCGGCCGGAGCCGAGAGAAAGTGGCATGCCCGAACCCTGGAGACGGAGGTGGCGGAGGACGGGGGAAGACGATGCCGCAGCTCCGTAGGGGACGTAGGCGAGAGCGAGCGAGGCGTGCTGGGCGCCCCGGCGCCGGCCCGCTGCGGGGAGGCGCGCGCTGCTCTGAGGCTCCGGCCTCCGCACCCCCGCACCTCGACGCTGCGGGCGACAGGGCTCGGCTCCAGCAGCCGCCGCCGTCGCCGCCGCCGCCACCCGGAGGACCCAGCAAAAGTTTGGATCTGGGGGAGGGCGCGGCGCTGAGCGGGATTACCACCAGGGCTGGAAGGAGACCTCAAGAACCTTCGCAGGTAAAGCGCGCCCCCACCCTCTCCTTCCAAGCCGGGCGGCTGGGCTCCCGCTTCCTCCCAGAGCCTTTCCTGTCCTCGCGCGTCTGGCGGAAAGTAAGAGGGAGGCGAAGTTCCAGGTCCCGGGGATGGGCACCGAGCGCTGGCAGATCTCTAGTCACGTTAGAGGGGCAGCTGTACGGACAGGCAGACCCTCCCTCCCCCATCAATGGATGAGAACCCTCGGTCCCAGCTGGTGCCACATCTTGTAGCTCTTTGGAAATTTGGTATGCGAATTCAGGGGCTTTTAGCATTCTTCAGTCCAGAGAAATGGTTCATGGCGTTCACTTACCGCATCGCCCCCGCGTTCACACTCTTACCCTGTTTGGAATTTTTTAAAAATGATTTGAGCCCATTCCCTACTCGCCTGCTTCGTTTAGCTGGACAGCAAATTCAGGGGTGAAAAAAGCTGCAAGCAAAGAGGAGAAAATGCCCTTTCCCCGTTGGACATCCCTGAAGTCCTCCTTCACTCCCTTTAGCTTCTGGCGTCTTAAAATAGGAACTTTAGAAGTTACATATTCATTGAGGGGTGAGGTGAAACGTGTTAGCTGTTGGTGATAGGAATTTGCCACGATTATCCGTGTGCGTTTGTGTGTGTGCGTGTGTTTGGGGGAGGGGGTTGGCGGTGTTGCAGAGAGGCGGAATTTTTCTTGGTGGCCTGACGCGCAATTGTCCCAGGGTAGTGAGCGGCCGCGTGTGTGCATTGAGGCGGGGGCCGCGGAGAGAAGACGGTCACGTTTCCCGAACAGCAGCATTACTTAAGCTAAGAAAATAGCTGCAGCTGACTCCAAAAGCAAAAAGATTCCAGCCCCAACTCCCCGACGCCCCCTTTCCCCCAACTGAGTTTTTAGTTTCAAAGCAGCTCTCCGCCTTTGCTGCTGCTATCTTTATTATGATCATTATTTATTCACCTGGAAACTCATCCTGTCTTCTCTTGTGGATGGGAATCAGTCTTGAAGAACTGTTGATTAATTTTAGTAAGGGAATCTCTTGTGAAGCTTACAGTTAGCTAACCAAGTGCAAGGTACAAATCCGTGTAGCTCTCGCAAGAGTGCAAGGTGCTGATTAGATTTCTTTACATGCTGTATTTGCTATGCAAAGCCTCTTCTAAATGGGATCTATTGCTCCCCACTCAGCTGGGAGGCTCCTTAATCACACTGGGTTTCAGGGCGCTTTGGAGCATGTCCACTCTCTCACGGGCTTATTGCTAAATTTATTATGTCTTACTCCTCACAGCCAAAAGCTAATACGAAAGCTGGCTTCTATATCAGACCTATATAATCGGTAGACTTAACCGGTATGACCTTACTAAATATCCAATGAGAAAGCCCCCCAAACATTTTTGAGGTAAATAGAATGCAGATTGGCGTTTGTCCAGGGATCTATTAGGCTGTTGCAATGTGAATGTAAAATTTTAGGTCAGTATTGGACGTGTTAGAACTAGATTCTTATTTATTTTCATCACTGAACAACACGGGCCAGCTACCTACGATGGGAAGGCCACCAGCCACCATATTAGCAGAGAATC